TTGACCTGGCTGCAGTGGGAATGGTGTTGGTTTGGCTGTCTACTGTAAGAGTGCATCTGTAATCAGCTGTATGGATGGGCTGTTATGTATCTGTGTGAGAGATGTGAACGCTCGTGCAATTCTAGCCCTTAAAGGTGTCAGAAGGAGCAGCGACGTCTTGAGGTGTGAGAAGGGGCTGAGGAGCCTCATTCTGTTGTCAGTGATATGTTGGGACCCTCTGTCCAGTATCAGCACTGTGCTGGGCCCCGTGCTCCCTCCTGCAGTACAGCAGGAGGCGGTGGCTGGGCTGAAGAGCGAGTTGGATCGAAGGATCTTTTACTCCCACTGCACATAAACAGTGTGCAAAGCCGTGGGGCTGTGCTGCAGCGCTGCATCAGGAAGCTGACGCCAGATGTGTGCAGGCTGAGCGCATCCGGCTGTGTGCAATGGGGGGGGAGGTGGGCAGCAAGCCAGCAGTGCCAGGAAATGCGTGTAACCCCCAGCGGTGCTTTGGCTCTCACAGCCCCACATCAGAGCCAGCACAGAATGTGGTGACTGTGAGCTGTGCGAACTGGGAGTCCGAAAGTTAATGTTTTGTGGTTTGGAGGCATAAAAATGCCGTCATCTCTTGGCAGCGTTGGTTTTTGTGCGTGGGTATAAAGCCAATAATGAGCTCTGACACTGGTATTCCTCTGAGCGCTGCTTGCCCTGTTACAGGGCGGTGGAACATTGCAGTTGTATGACTGTTGGTTGACTGGGAGGGTTAAAGCTGCAATAGAGATGTGTGTTTTAGAGCTGGAGTGTGTTAAGCTGCTATCCTGAGCAGGTTGTTTCCTACACAGCGTGCCTTCGCCCTGTTAAGTCAGCCAGTAGTTTTGTTCCTCATTGGAGTTACATTGGCTTGTCCGCAGTGTGACTGAATGCAGCCATCGCTGGTCTGTCTTTGAGCCTTTGCACCAAATGCTCCTTGTGATTGGAAAAGGGAAGCGTGCACGTGGCTGTCAGAAACGCTCACATGTAGGTCTGTTACCCTGATGGTGGAGGAAAAAAGGTCTGGTGTCATCGCAGCTGGGCCTGCCAAGTGGCAAAGAGCAATGGGTGATGGAGGGAAACGCTTCTGAGAAGGGATTGCTGCTCACTGGAAGTGTTTCTCTTTGTTTTCGCAGTGGGAGTCGTTCTTCGAAAACATTCAAGCCCAAGAAGAATATTCCTGAAGGCTCCCATCAGTATGAGCTCCTGAAACACGCAGAAGCCACTCTTGGGAGTGGCAACCTCAGGCAAGCAGTTATGCTGCCGGAGGGAGAGGACCTTAATGAGTGGATTGCAGTGAACAGTAAGTCCTGGGAGACAGAGATCCTCCACCAGTGTGTGGAAGTGGAGTGGAAGGACACAGATCTCTGCTTTTCATCCTTAAAAGAAGCAAACAGAAAATCTCCCGAAATGAAATTCCTATTCCAGCTGTATTCTCTTTAAATGAGTAAGAATAAAAGGGCAGTAAGAGCTGGGACATGCTGACCATTTGTGTGTCAGAGCAGTGCTGTGCTCTGGAAATATGCAAAAAGTGAGAAGCAAATACATGCAGTTGTTTCTGAGTGCATTTTCTTGAGTTCAGACTTGTAAAGGCAATTACATTTGTGAGTGGCTGTTTTTGGAGCTGGGAGTAAGACCCGAGGGCTGACATTTGGAATTAAGGTGTCTGGAACCTAAAGCAGTTTTTTACGAGCTGCAACTGGAATCATTTGGTGTGTTTCCTTTCCAGCGGTGGATTTCTTCAACCAAATCAATATGCTGTATGGGACCATCACAGAGTTTTGCACAGAGGCAAGCTGTCCAGTCATGTCTGCTGGACCAAGGTAAGAAGTTTGTGGTGGCCTACAGCTGCAGTTTGTGCTGGGGAAATGGCTGGATGGTTTCTGAAGCGTGTGTCTAAAAGCTGAAGAGGATGGGATGTATGTGGATGGGGTTGGGTACAGCACTGTGCTCCTGCAGTCACTCACCTGTGTCTGAAGCCCTGTGGGCTGTTAGGGAGGCTGTGTGGTACCAGGAGCAGATTAATTTGAAGGAAAATTGAGAGATTTAACCTGACGTGGAAGTGGCAGATCTTGCTGTCAGCATTTAGCCGTGTCTCAGTCGGAGAGGCCATTGTGTGGTTTTTGAGTGCATGCAGTTCTAAAACCACAGCTGCTAATGGGGCAGGAGGGGAGAGAGCAGGAACCCAGCAGGCGCTGAGATCAGATTGCTGGAGAGAGCAGGGGATTTGTAGAAGGCTGAGGCACCATGGAAGGAGAAAACAAAGCAGGGCACGGGGGCTGGCTGGGGAGCAGTATTTGCAGTGCTGTGTAGAATCCTGCCCTGCTTTTCTAACCAGGAGCATTTAGATTGCGAGTTCCTGTTTCTATATCTGGGGACGCTTCCTGTAAGGACTTCCTGTTTGAAGCACACTCTTCATTTTCACTTGTTGCTTGTTGAGAAACAACAGCCGAAACGTAATTTTCTCCCCCTCTCTGTAGGGATTGTACAAAAGATTGCTGAGGAAGTTCCTTGCTGCTCGGGGTTGACGTCTGTCCCAGTTCTGGGGAGCTGTGAGACCGATAAGCACACGTCACTTTGAGAGGGTGGTTTTCAGAAGGCAGACGTGGGGCCTCTGGATGGTCTTTGGAAAGTCCCCCACGTGCTGGGGGGCACTTCTGAGGGAGAGCTGAATTCGTGGCTGGTGGCTGAAGGCCATACGTGCAGTAACTCAGGAGGTGGGGGGTTGCCTCCCTCCCTTCCCCTTCAGCCAGTTTTTGTCTCACTTTAAGTGGATGTCACAGGAGGTTGTGGCGAAGCTGAACGTCACTTTTGAGGGTTGAACCCTGGTGGCTGTTGCTGCAGTTGTTGGGATGGAGATGTGACCCCGAGCTGCTGCATTGGGCTCGAGGAGCTCAGACATCAAGGCAAAGCATCACACAGAATATTTGTTTTGCAAAGTCATTCCTTGCCACGATAAGGAGGAAGCTGTGGGGCCCAGTGGCCAGAACAGGGCCTGAAAATGCTGCTTCTTTCCCCATTAGGCCAAGGAATGTATTTTTTCTTTCACCCTACAGATATGAGTACCACTGGGCAGACGGTACCAACATAAAGAAGCCAATTAAGTGCTCGGCTCCAAAGTACATTGATTACTTGATGACGTGGGTTCAGGATCAGCTGGACGACGAAACCCTCTTCCCTTCAAAGATCGGTAATTGCAGTGGCGCAGCACGGCGTGCCTTGTGTCCAGCACCAAGCCTCAGTGCCACCAGAAAGTCTCAGTGATTTGTATTCAAGTCTTGGTGGTTTGTTTTGTTGTTTCATAAACACTTGTGACCAAACTGAAGCTTGCCCGTGCTCTTCAGGTGTCCCTTTTCCCAAGAACTTCATGTCTGTGGCCAAGACCATCCTGAAGCGACTCTTCCGTGTCTATGCCCACATTTACCACCAGCACTTCGACTCCGTCATGCGGCTGCAGGAGGAGGCACACCTCAACACCTCCTTCAAGCACTTTATCTTCTTTGTGCAGGTGAGGTGCACAACAGCTGCTCCACTGCCTCTACCGGGGTTTTTTGTTCCCATTTGCTTTTAAGGGGAGTTAGAATTTACAAGCCTGCTTTCTTGCTGAAGGGCTACAACAGTGCTGTGGGGGAAGTAGCTCAGCTCTTGCCCTCCATGCATGAACTGTTTGGGGATTACTTATGCAGGCTGGCTGAAAATGCTTGAATTTCCCTATCTACTTTTATTTATTAACAAAAGGACCAGACTTCAAAGAGAATCTGAGAGGGGAAGGGGTTATAATTCAGTAACTCCTTCTGAGATGGCAACAGCAGCTTTTCTCCCCTTGCCCATTTTTTCAGTATCTTGTGACAGCGTGGCAGCCCACTGCGCTGAGCACTGGCACTTCTCAGCCACACAACTAAGTTCAGTTTGCCTGAAACGCTTGGATTTCTCCAGAGAAACAGCTGAGGTGGCTGCAGCTGTATGCTTGCTGGCTGGACCTGGGGCTTTATTTCCTAGGGGTTCTTTCAGCAGCGCGTTCAGTTCTGCTGTTGCTTTTTTCCTACCAGGAATTCAACCTGATCGACAGGCGGGAATTGGCTCCGCTGCAGGAACTCATTGAGAAGCTGGGTTCCAAAGACAGATAAACTTTCCCTGGGAGGACCCACTCAACTTCCAGTCGTGGCCACTCCTTTCTGCTTTGTCCACAGCCATTCTCCCCTTCACCCTCAGCGATACAAGCCCCAAGGAGCCGGATGATGTGCTGGCTGGCGCTGCCTCGCTCGGTCTAGCAGGCCTTTGGCAAAACAGTGCTTGTACTGTGCTGCAGCAGCCTGTGTCACCTTGTAACTGGTGGCTGAGCTGTGATGCCTGGCACTGTTTTGTCCACTTTTTTCTAAACTACATACTCAAGTCTGGCAAGAATTGCAGTGGGGAAGTCAGACGCACAGCTTGCAGCGGGTTGTTTTGTTTTGTGCAGGCGAAGTTCCAAAATGCCACACTGCTGTTTTCAGTGCTGGAGCAAAGCTTTCCTCAGATCCCACGTGGCCGTCCTGGGGCTGCGTCCAGCCGTGCTTCCCATGGGGGAAGGGCAGCAGAGGCACAGCTTATTTTTGGAAGTGCTTTTTTTGGATTTAGATGCACTTTGGCCAAGAGCCTTAAGCTCCCCTTCATGACAACAGTGATGGGGGAGGGGAAAAAAAAAAGTGCCTGGCAAGGGGAGCCTGCCCCTTGGGGTGCAGAGCAGCTTTTCTGCCCCAGCTGGGGGAGGGGGGAGGGCAGGGGGAGGGGCAGGGACCATGTTGGCAAGGCAATAAAGTTTCTTCTTCCTGCTCTCCTTTCTAATGGCTGTCATGTCTGTGTGCCCCCCTCCTGCTTACACTCTCGGTGCGTTATTCTCTTTGCGAAGCTCCCCTTGGGTGGGGGCTGTAGCAGCACTGTCCCTCCCCAACCCCCCCAGCGCTGGTCCAGGAGCCTCCTCATGCAGCTACACATTTATTGGGCAGGTCACCCCCTGCAGCCCCCCCCTCACACCCCCTCCTGCAGCGTTCAGCTCCATCAGGATTTGGGCACGGAGGTGAAGATGCGCAGCCCATGCATGCTCTTGATCTCCTCGCTCAGCGCCTGCAACAGATGAACATAAGGGCTGAGTCCCACCGCAACGCAAAGGTGGGTGCCTTGAAAAGCAGGGCTCCCCATTCAGGGCCGTGCAGCCCAGCTCTGCGTGCCCTCACCTGATTCACCATCTGGTGCTGCTGCACCGTCCGCTTCTCCCGGAACTCCTCCGATTCGATGTGGATCTCATACATGGCCCCGCAGCCACCTGCAAGGAGCGTGGCCCCACTCAGTGCCACGGTATGGCCAGGGCTGGAAGGGATCTCAAGGGTCATGGAGCTCCAACCCCCTGCCGCACGCAGGGCCACCAACCTCCACATTTCACACCAGCCCAGGCTGCCCAGGGCCCCATCCAACCTGGCCTCCAACACCTCCAGGGATGGACGGGGCATCACAGCCTCTCTGGGCAGCTGTTCAGCCCCTCCCCGCTCTCACAGCACACAACTTCCCCTGACATCCAACCTCCAGCTGCCCTCCCTCAACTTCAAACCATTTCCCCTTGTCCTGCTGTCATCTCCCCTTTCCAAGAGTTGACTCCCCACCTGTTTGTAGGCCGTTCAACGACAAGCGCGGCCGTTCGGGAGGGCAGAAGCCTTTTCCTTACCGGAAATGTCCACCACGCGGATGGCGGAGGCGCGGGGGAATTTCTCGCGCAGGACGCGGCTCACGCGCTCCTCCCCGTCCGCTCCCGCGGAGAAACCGCGCCAGGCGCCGCGCGGCACGAGGAGCTGCGGGCACAGAGACGCGAAACGCTCCGGGGGCTGAAGGGGGGATGGGGGTTGCAGCGGGGCCCACGCGGGGCCTCAACGCTGCCGGAGAGGGGAGGAAGGGCCGCAGAAGGCACGAAGGCCTCGGGCTCTGTCGCTCACTCACCGGCCCGCGGCTCCGCAGCCCCGCCGCGGCCATCGGGCGCGCCAGCTGCAGGAGGAGAGAAATGACCGCCGCCCGCCAATCGCCGAGTGCCACGTCATAAGGCCGCGCCGCTGCACAGCGCCCCCTGCCGGCCGGGAAGTCTCAAGAGAAGCCTAGGGGACAACACCCCCCCCCATCTATTCCCCCCCCGCCCATCGCTCCCCGCCCCCCAAATCCCCACAGCGCACAGCGGCCTCGCCTCCCCTCCAGCGCCGCCCCGTCCCACCGCTGCCCCCCGGGCCTCATCCTGCTCCATCCGCCCCAGAGGGCTCATCCTGCCTCACCCCTCCCAAAAAAACCACCGTGCAGAGCCCATCCCGACCCCAAGAACCGCCCCGCAGCGTGGGCCCCAAACCAATCCCCCCAAACCCCCCCGCGTCTGAAAGCAGAGCCAAAGAAAACGGCCCCCGATTTGAGTGCAAAAAATAAATATAAAATTTATTAAAACACCCACAATATTTTAAAGATATCAGGAATAATACATTTTGCAGCCGGGTGGGCCGCGTGTAACTTAGAATAAAATACAAATTAAAAAAAAATCATGGGGGAGGAAAAAGGGGGAGGGAGGGGGGTCCATACTTGCGATTTTTAGGCATCCTAAAAAATAAATTTACCAAAACACTGAAGGGAGGAGGTGGGGGGAGGAAAAGGGTTTGAAGAAACGAGAAACACACAAAAGAGGAGAAAGAAAAGGGAAAATTATACAAAATAAAATTATCGGCATAAATTTACTGTCCTAGGAGTTATCTACAGTTTAATACACATTAATCCTATTGCCTTGAGACATGGGAAAAATCTACCGCTCCTCGATCCGCCCCGGAAAAACAAAATAAAAACAAAAAAACTTCATTTCAAGTAACCACAGCCCCGAGCCGGCCAAGGAATCTTCAAGTGTGTCCCTGGGGGGACCCCCTGCCGCCTCCACTCCGTCCTCCGAACCCCACCAAACCCCACAGCAACGCAACCCCAAACCCTCCTGCCATCGAATCCCGAGCGCTGAACCCCACAGAAATGGCGCTTTTTATTTCGTTTTAATTTGTCGTTGGTTTTTGTTTCGTTTTTCTTGTTTGTTTTGTCTACTCGTTTCCTTTTCCTTCCCATTCTCTGCGCCGCGGTGCAAAACCCCACCGGCGAAACGCTCCCAGAATAAAACAAGGCTGAAACTACGGCAGTTTGTAATCCCTGAAGGATGCGAAAATGAGGAAAAGCCCGGGCGGAAAGGGTCAATGAAAGGAAAAAAAATAAAAGTAGGAACGAACACTGCTATGAAAGGATCCCTGATTTCGGAAAGATTCGCCCCGGTTTCACTGCCTTCGCTGCCGCGGCGCTGCGGGGTGTGGGGTTGAGGTATTTGCCTGGTTTGGGGCACGGGGGGCTGCTGCCCCCTCAGCTCACGGGAACCCAAAGGGAAGAAGTAGCACCAATGAAACCCAAAAAAAATGGAAAGGAGAGCAGGGAGGTGGAAAGGGAATGAAGAGATGCGAGAAGCGTGAAGCCCAGCTACCCCCTGCCACAGCTCCCCGCAGCCAAAGCCCACTGTTCCAGGGAGGGAAAGGAGCTCCGCGGCCAGGAGGTGCCAGCACCGTGTTTGGGTGCACCGGATCCAAGCACCACGGCCGTGCTCGGGGGGTGAGCATCAGGTCCTCGTGTCGTGCCAAGCACCCCAGGACCAAGCACCGGTGGGAGAGCGCCGTGACCCTGCACCACATCCACACCCCACGTCTGAGCACCACGTCCAAGCACAGTGTTGGTGAACGGTGGGCGAGCACCACGCCTGAGCAACTGTTCCTGAGCACCACGTCCACGCACTGTGCCCAAGCACTGTGTCCATGAACCTTGTTCAAAGCACCGTGACTGCGGACATCGTCTGAGCACCGCGCTCGGTGCCTGAGCACCATCTGAGCGAGCACACCAGCTCTGAGCACCACAGCTGAGCACCACGTTCCCCTCCCTGGCTGAGCACCACATCCAAGCACCACGTTCACACACACGGTGGCCGAGCACCGCATCCATAGCACCGCTGAGCGCCGAGCACCGAATACCGCGCTCACACCCCTGGCTGAGCACCGAGTCCATGCACCGCTGCTGGGCACCAACACGCAACCAAGCACCGTGTTCACACACCTGGCTGAGCACCGCAGCCAAGCACCGAGGCCACGCACAGTGGCCGAGCACCGCGACCAAGCGCCACAAGCAAGCACCGTGTCCGCAGCGCGGGGCCGAGCACCGTGCCTGAGCACCGTGGCCACACGCTGGGGCTGAGGAGCACATCTGAGCACCGCGTCTGCCCGTCCTTGGTTCCTGGAGGGGAACGAAGCTGCCGCAAAGCAAAGGTGCCCACAACGCTTCAGCGTGGCACCGGTTTCTGTTTGCATAAGAACAAGATGCTCCCGGCAAGCTTTGAGCTGTCGCTCCGGAAAAGTAAACTTCCTTCTCAACGACATCATTGCTTTTTTTTAATTTTTTTTTCTTGGTTCTCTAGTTTCGTATATACATTAGTAGCACCTCGGCAAGATGGAATCAGGCAGAAGCATGATACAGTTTGTTAAAACACCATAGCACCATTTTGATTAGAAGATTTCATTTAATAAAAATATGCCTTAAAGAGCCCACAAAGCATATTCCAGTACTAAAAGGAAAAGTTAGCAATTGAGGCACCTCAGGGATTCTGGTTTCCTTCTCCTTCCTGAGCCTCGTCCCAAGAGTGCCAAGAGGAGGAGCGGCCCCCGGCCAGCACCGAGGTACCCACCATGGCCGGGAACACTGCAGTGAGCATGGAGACCTCCCCCGCTTCCCATCGCGGGTGTTGTTCTAGCACCAGTGTGGCTGCGACCTGCTGCAAAGTGTCTTCCCCCCCCCCCCCCCCCCCCCCCCCGGCCCCGATGCGATTAAAAACGCCGCCCCCAGCGCACCCCACTGCCCACCCCGCACCAGGACGTCCCCGCAGTGCTTCCACCCCATGGCTTCTGCGCAGGTGGGACAAGCGCGGGTGCTGGTAAAGATAAAGAAAAAGATTTTGCTTAAAACAGACTCTCAGCAGCAAGGGGTTAAAGAGCTGTGCATAGTTTTCTAGTTTTCATATAAGAAGTCTGAAGCATGCTAATTTTCAATGACTGAGATTTGAGGTAGGTTATACGTAATGTAGTGTAAAAACGTGAGACTGCAGCAGTTCTCGCCCTGACCCACACACCACTGCCCCCCCGCCCCGGACCAGTTTGAGCCTCCCTTCAAGGCAGGGGGGGACGCCGCACGGGAGCGAGCCCCCAAACCAGACACCTCCAAGGAAGCAGGACTTAGACAGGTTGCACGGACCGAAACATTCTCCAAACGCGCCCCTTTCTCCCAAATTTCTTGCTAACGTCATCTACGCAAAGCTTTCAAGGCACCCCTGCGACAACCTACAGCACGGAAGTCAGACAAGACCTGGGCGAAGCAAACCAAGGCCGGCACCCGAATCCGACCTCTTTCATTCTTAGACCTCCAAACAGCACTGCAGCTGCACCACGGCTGAGCCCCATGGCCGAGACCCGTGGCCAAACGCTACAGCCAAGGCCTATAGCCAAGCTCCATGGCCAAGCTCCATGGTCAAGACTCACAGCTAAAACCACGACCAAGCCCCATGGCCAAGCTCCATGGTCAAGATCTACGCCCAAGCTCCACGGTCAAGACTTACACCCAAGATCTATGGCCAAATGCTATGGCCAAGACCCATGGCTGAACTCCATGATCAAAACCACGGCCATGACCGATGGCCAAGACCAACAGCTGAACCCCATGGCCAATACCCATAGCCAAGCCCTGAGGCACGCAGCCCCAGGACACCCGCAGGCCAACCTAAGGTCTGACTTGCCATGAACTCTACAATCCTGATATGCTATTGGGTACTTATAAGAAAAGCGATAATAGCTCATTGAATTTCCTTGTCAAATATACGCGACTTTACAGATTACAGTTAAAAAAAAACAAATTATGAAGGACGGACAAAGCATGTTAAATATTCTGCCAGTATTTACAGTTCTCCCACCATAACTGTGTCTAAAACACACTGCTTTCAAGTTGTCGGGAGGGGGGAGAGGGTTTTTGCTTTTTTTTTTTTTTTTTTTTTGTTTTCAGTTTCGCTTTCATTTTTAAATCTAGGTGAAAGTGCTTTTTAAAAAAAATTCTTTCCCTATGTACAGGTTTTAAAATCAGACTGACTACACAAAGGTTCAGGCTGTTTTACCGAGATCCTGCTGAGCTGCGCCGGTGCGTGGGGTTGCAGTAAACACACGCGGTGACTTCAGCACGGTGACGGCGCCGGCTCTCGCTCGCGTGTTCCCCAAAAGGCACCTGGAAGTGCAAAGCGACGGCGCAGCCCCGTCCCGCACCCAGCGCCCAGCATGGCTCGAGGGTGGCAGCCTCAGCTGAGGTTGTTGGGAAAGCACCACGCAGTGTTGTTGGATGGTTGGTGGGTGGGTTGGTTGGTGGGTGGGTTGGAAAGGTTGTTGGTCGGTGGATCGGTCGGTTGGTTTTCTTGTACTGTGGGAAGAACAGCAACCTGTAGGAAGGTGAGATGATGGCACCTGGGGAGAGAAAAACGCGGAGCGCGCCGCCGCGCCGACTCACCCATCGGACTGAGAGTGTGGGGAGACGAGTCCCAGAGTGTGGGTTTGCTCCTCCCAGAGCCGCTCGTACGGCCAAAGTCCCCCAGAGACTGAAAGCACCAGACTTCAGCAACAGTGATGTACAGAGAGCAACACTAGCTATTCACAGTTTTGTGTTGTTTTTGTGGGTTTGTGTTTTTTCCTTTTCCTATTTACGTGTTTGATTCCTGTTGGGTTTCTCGGAGACGCAGCCGAGCTGCTCCTCTTCTCCTTAGGGCAACGGAGCCCCAAACGAGCGCAGAGCCCCGGACCCAAGCATGGAGCTCCGGGAGCAGCACCCTCCACACGATGCCCTGAGGTCTCCACCCATGGGGATGGACTCCTCCAGTTGTAAAACAGCCACTGTGGGTCCTTGGGAACCAACAATTAAAAAAACTGGATGTTCGGTGCATCCGGCTGACGTTAGAGCACTCGTTTCCAGGTGGCTCTGTGAGGCCGCCCCTGATCCGCGCCGCCTGCACGGCACTGCGGAGATCCACCTCTGCCTTTATACGCTGGTTTGGTGTTCGGGTTGTTTCTCATTTTTTTCTTTTTTTTTCTAATTTATCCATGTATTTTTTTCCTCGATGTTCGCTTCGTTTTTTGAAGGTCGGCTTCGTCATTCTCGTCAGATTAAAAAATAATAATAATAATCCAATAAATACGCGGTTTTAAGTGGAATTAAAAACCTCTCCTTTGCGAAAGGACGCTATAAACTTCTCTCTCCATTCTTGCAGTGCACAAGGATAGATTAAAAAAACACAGAGATATAAATATTAGGTTACCGAAAAACGTCAAAGAGCATTGTTCCTTTCCTATTTTCCTACTCTTTGCCAAGTGCGGCTCGCACCCGCGTCGGTTCCGTTGTTTCCAAGCGTAACGTTGGTTTATTTTGCTTTCTTTTTTTCTTTTTTTTCCTGCTTTTTTTTTTTTTTTTTTGTTTTTTTTTTTTTTTTTTTTT